TCTTTAAAAAAAAAAAAAAAAAACAATAAGCAAAAGAAGGTTTTAGTAAGGAAAAAACAGAAATTTCCTTAACTTGGTAAGGATAACTACAAGAGATTACACCAAACATCACAGTTTATGATGAAACATTAGAAGTGTTAATTAGAAAATATAAACAAAACTTCGAGGGTTTTTGGGGGGGTTTGTTGTTTTTGCTGAGGGAGATTGTCCCTGAGCGAATACCTATGCCAATCTTCCTCTATTTCGTATGTGGGCTGCCATCACAGTATGGCTGATGAATGGTGTAGGTCCACACCTGGGACCCAGATCCATGAACCCAAGCCGCTGACGAGGAGTGCATGGAACTTAACTACCACACCACAGGACCAGCCCCAAAGCTGAGTTTTAAGATGGTAAAATTGAGATACACCTGCTCTCTTCTCTCAGAAATCACCCTATAAATAAAAGAATAAAAAAATAGAAATGTAAATGCCTTCTTCAAAGAGATTAGGAGACCTCTGTACCCTGAAGCACCATAAATGAGGAAGGACCGCCAAATGCAGTGAAAATCAAACAAAGTACCTCAGATAAAACAAGCAGAGGACAGATCTTCAAAGCACATGGTACACTTGGAGGAGCAAAACCAACAATCCTTTGCTTGAAACAATGAGAATGAAGTCTGAGCAGAGCACCTCACAGGATAGCATATACCACCACCACAAGGAAACACACATTCCATCTTTACAGGAAGCATGCTGCAAAGGATCTCAGAGGAGAACAACTCTAAATTGGAAGGAACACTACTCATCTCTGCTCATTCCTGCTGGCTGGTTGGGGAGAAGTAAAGCTAAACTCACAGCACAGATGAGTAATAATTAAAAAGGAGGCTAGCATGGCATCTATAAAAACGTAAAAAAAAAAGAAGACTGCTATACAGATAAAGTAGCCAGGAAAAAAAAACCTCTCAACGAAGAAATTCTGCCATAAAGCAAATGAAAACTGTGATTAAATAAACATAGTATAGTGAATTCCAAAGACTTAATAAAATAATCATTTAAAAAAAGAAAGAGAGTCAAAAGTAACGGGAAAAAAATGAAAAAAAGCATAAAGACAGAAATACAAGCTGGAACAGCTCCAAAAATAGTATGGTGTTATCTAGTAAATTTCAGGTTTTGCATATCCTCTGATCCAGCAATTCTAGCATACGTCGACCTTCAGAAATATATGTGTATTTGCCCCAGACATATACAAGAATGTTCATAATAGCACCAAAGTGAAAATAACCAAAAGTATAATGAACTTGTCTACCAACAAGATAATGGATTAAAAAACTGTGATAACTCACATAATGGAATATTATACAGAATGAAAACAAGTGAACTATAGTTACATGCAGCAACATAGATAAACCTTAAAAACATAATGGACAAAAACTAGAAACCAAAAAAACTACATAATGACTGACTCCATTATATAAAGTTCAAAAATATATAAAGTTAAACTGTTCCTTGGGAAAAAAATAATACATGAGCAAACACGAAACTAATGTAGTGAAGAAAACTGTGAAAGTACAAACACTCACATGAGTAATAACAGGGAAATAATCTCAGATACAGAGGGAAAACATTTTTTTTAAATCATGAGATAAATCTGCCAAACTCTACAAATAAATCTGAAAACCTGGATGACATGAGTGACTTTTGTAAGAAAACATTAGATACCAAAATTGACTCCAAAAGAGATAGAAAATCTAGATGGACCCATTATAGAAGACATATACAAAGTTACAAAAACACTATCCTACAGAAAAGTACCTTCATGTGCCATTTCTTTTGTAAAGATTTACCTGACTGCCAATAAATCAACTTTCTCCCTGTGTTATCACTATACCTTATATATACTTCTATTATAGCCATCCCATTGACTTACAATGGTTTATTTGTGTCTTTCACTCCTTGTGGCATTCTTTGAGGACAATGCTTATCGTATGTTGGTATCTTTAGTTCCAACCAAATGCCTGGCACAGAGCAGGCACTCAAACAATATCTGAGGAATGAACGCACACAATGGTCCAGCATTTCACAAGGTTTTGGATAACTAACAATCTCCATAATCCTCAGAACTTCATAAATGTCCGTTCATTTCTAATTTTTTAACACTTTAATGGAGAATTTAAAATATATAAAAAATAGAGAATAGCATAATGAACCCCTGTGTACCCATCATCCAATTTCAACAATAATCAACATTTGGCAATCCTGTTTCAGTTATGTCCCTACCAACACCACTGGATTATTTTGAAGCAAATCCCAGATAACATTTTATTTCATCTTTAAATGCTTCACATTTAAAACTATTTCACAGTGAAAAGTCCTAAGCAGAGGGAGATTATTTTGTCTCAAATAAGTGAGAAAGAAAATAATCACAGTAAATATACCAAGGGAATTTCTTTTGGGAGGGGGGGCGGTGAGGAAGATTGGCCCTGAGCTAACATTTGTTGCCAATCTTCCTCCTTTTGCTTGAGGAAAATTGCCACTGAGCTAACATCTATGCCAATCTTCCTCTATTTTATGTGGGATGCCACCAAAGCATGGCTTGACACATGATGCTGGGTCTGCACCTGGGATCCAAACCTATGAACCCGACCACAGAAGCAGAGTGCACAAACCCAACCACTACATCACCGGGCTGGCTCCAAACCTGCGTTGTTTTAAACCACTAAGTCTGTGGTAGTATTTCAACAACTATAATAACTTGGGAAAACAAGCTGTTCCTTTGTTAAAAGGTAAATTTCCCTTTTGCCAACACCCATCAGTCATTTACACAATACTTAAAAATCACTTCAGTTATGTTTACTGGTCTTCCCTAGAGCAATCTGGGTAGGGAGAAAAGGAAGATGAAGTATTTTGACACGAATGGTGACCGTAGTCTCAGGTTATACCTATACCGGCATAATTATCAATGATGCCTCTTTCACTTTAAAAGTATTCCAACTTAGAAGACGAATTTTATGGTCATCCTAAGCACAGGGCATTTCAAAAGAGGACAGGCCAGCTAGCTTCTGAAGTGATGAGGTATGGACAGTTAGAGGAGATGAGTAGGGAATCTGGTAGTTGGGACAGAGAAAAAGTAGGTCATCAGGAAGCAATTCAGGAGCACAGAGAGGAAATACAATACACCTATTACTATTGGTGCTCAGCATCCTAGAGCACCCATCCATCAGGGGCCCTTCTCCCCTTCCTGCAGCTCATCCGCTAAACCCTACTCCTGCACTGGCACAACACTATGTAAAATCACCTTTAATCTGGTTGCTGGTCACTTAAATCTTTGAGTAACAAAATGAAGCACTTGTTTACCTTTAAATGTACATTAGCTCTAGCTTAAAAGCCTCCTTCTATCTGGCAAATAGTATACTTTTTTTCAAAATGTGAGGTTAAATTCTGAAGTTAATAATGAATACTGGATAATGAATACTGGATTATGAATAAGGAATACTGAAGGTTTCATACGTAGGCAAGGGATGACTAAATTTTCAAAAGTCCACATTCCTGAATGATCCATACATACAGACACATCCTACTCTCAACCACCAGAATTCTACCCAATGCCACTGTCCTCAATGCTTAAGAAGACACTAAACACTCTCCTATCCTGCCTCTGGCTCCCAGCATCCCAGAATTGACCAGAATTTGCCTGCACTTATCTTCCTTGAGTCTAAAAGTCTACAAACAAGCCATACAAATGAAGGAGGAAAAACAGGGAATATGAAGCAGGCAGACGGAAATTGTAGATGAATTATTCCCATCACCAGGTGGAACGCAGAACTCAATTTATCATGAAAACTGTTATAAAAGAAATAGTTAGGTTTTCGGAAAAGCATTCATCCTCTCTGAACTTTGGCTTCCTACAAAAAGACGACTTTGGATTATATTAGCTCTATAATTCTTTCCAGCAGTAAAATTTGATGACGGATTACATAGGTTTTTAACTGGGTGAACCTAGAAATCAAATCACCATGGAAAGATGTTTTCCAGAGTTTTATGAACCCAAACTATTTACAAGTAGGTAGGCCCTATCTGAACAATTAATCCCATTTTATGTAAGGAAAATTTCGAGTTAAGGAAAGACAGTTAATGTTCCCTACTCTGCTTATTTTTTGAAAAGCTGCTTCAAGTAACAACAACAAAAAAAAATCACACACAAAACCTGCAAAAGTAACACTTACCTTTGCATCATCTATGTCAAAAACATCACACCAAGGAGATTTAACACCTTTAATTGCCAGGTCAAATGAACAGGTAAAAAAAGCTACCTGAATTAAATCTGAAAAAAAAAGAAAGGTAAATTTGTGGGTTACTATTTTCTGCAATTTTCCAAAGGCTAAATTTCTACAGAATGCCATGTGCAGCACAGCTGAATAAACTGGATATGTTTAATTTGGAGAAGAGACGATTCAGTTTCTTCCTGGCTATCAAAGAATTGAGTTACTCACTACAATCCAAAGGGGAGGAACTGTCCAGAAGAAACCATGAGGAAGTATAAATTTCACTCCAATGAAACTAAGAAACTTTTTCTCTGTAAAACTGTAACTTTCTCTGTTTTTAAAAGTAATATGTTTGTTAAGAGCATTTTTATCCACCAAATCCAACAAAAAGTTTAACCCAAGGACTTACTACCTGAAACATAATTTTATTTTAATTTTAGAGGGTTGGAGGAAGAGAAATAAAGTTATAAAAGGTTTTAGTCCCCAACTTGAAAATTAGGAATAACAAAGCACATTTATTGAAGAGTTCTTTTAACTACACAACAATTCATATTATAACTATTAAGAAGAAGGAAGTATGGAGAGAAAGATATAAAAGGGAAGAGAAGACTGCAGAAGGCAGAGAGGGAAGAAAGGGCAGAGTAAGTGAGGGTCAGGAGGAAGGTGAAACAAAGAGTGAAGACGGAGAGAAACAAAGAGAAAAATCACACTGAGGAGGGAGAGAGGTTGATAGCAGCAGGTTTTCAAATTTAGCTGCTCCGTCAGGCAGTGGATTTCAGAGTAAGTTACACTGCTAATTAGGTGATTGCATTATGTTTAGATACATATGAGTTTTGAAGAGAAGGGATAAGGGAATGAGTACTTGGGCTATAAAAGGTAGCCTTTGTCAGGACCAAATAAAAACACTGCACTCTAGGCAAGGGAAGTGGGTGATCTTTGACGCTACAGAGAGAGAAGTCAACTGCAGGAGTCGCCTCCATTGCTTCGATTTTTCTTTAACTTCACTGCGTTTCCTCTTTCCTAAGGAAAACAGGACCAAAAAATAATTGATCTTACATGCTTTTTGCAGTAGTTTTGAGTAAAAAGAACTTCCCTGAGGCAGTATATAGTACAAAAAGAATATTTAATTGGGAATATATGTAAAAGCCATTTAAAAACTTTGCCTATATAAATGAAAGGGTTTATAATCCTAATACTTAACATAATATAGTAGCTTTTAAGTACGATATATGTTTGATGAAAGGACCTGGCTCATTAACACTTGAAGTTCTACTTCTGAAACTATGAGTGAGTCCAAATGGTCTGTTCTTTAACCAGAGGGGAGTTGACTGAAAAAATATTCACCAAAAAACTTTGAAGTACTGGTACAGGGAGAAAAAGCGTAAGATAACGACTGAGGTTATGAGACCTGACTGCCGCTAATTATCCTGGGCAAGTCACTCTAGGCTCTCTGGGTCTCAATTTTTCCACCTGCCTAATAGGGAGGTTAGACAAGCTTTCATGACAAGTAATGGCTCTCATCCACCTACTAAGACCATTCCGACTTTTTGGTCAATCTTTTGGAACCTCAAAACTATTTCAGATGGATTAAAGATTTAAACATTAAAAAACAAATTAAAATTAAAATAATAAAATATAATAATCTTGGGGTAAGAGAATATTCCTATGCAAAATACAACACCCAGAAGCCATAATGAAAAGACAAATATGACTACATAAAAGATGTAAACCTGTGTACAAAGGCATCAAAAACAGACTTAAAAGATGACCAACAAAATTAAGAGAAAATGTTAGCAACATACAATAGGCAAAAAATGTATCCTTTGTCAAGGAAAATGAAAGGATATATAATTAATATATCCATAACACATAAAGGGTACTTATGATCAACATAAAACAATAATAAGAAAAAACAAAAATAATTCAACAGAAAATGGACAACATTAAGAGGCAATTATAAAGAGAAATGCAAATATCTAATAAACATATGAAAAGATGTTCACCTTCACAAGTAACCAAAGAAATGCACATTAAAGCTAGATTCCATTTTTTATTAATCAAATTGGCAAAAATCAAAATGACCAGTAATAGCCATTGTTGGATGAGATAGGAGAAAATGAGCATTCTCATATATTATTGATATAAATTTTTCTATACTTTCAGAGAACAATTTGGAAGCATATGTCAAGATGTAAAATATTCATGCTCTTTAACTCAAATTCCACCTAGTTATCTTATAGATCCACTCTCAAGTACAAAAACCAGACTATAAGAATGTTCACTGTAGCATCATTTGAAACAGTTAAAAACTAAGGAAAACCTCAGTAGGAAAATGATTTCCTATAAAAAGAACTTGGATTGTTTTAGCTCCAGTCTCTCCCACCAGTAAAATCTGATGATCATTAAATAAGTTTTAAACTAGCAGTGACCAAGAAATTGAATCACATATCCTACGAAATAACATAAAATGTAAAAGAATGAGAGAGCTATAGGAGACAGACATATTGCTAAACGAAAATACATACAGCATCACATCTCTACATAAAAAAAAAAATTTAAATAGCTAAAATATTTTGAGCAGTTACTCTGTGCCAGGTACTGTGCTAATGCTTTGCATGAATTAATCTCATAAAATCTTTGCAATAATTCTATGAGGCAGGTACAATTCCTATACCCATTTTACAGGAAAAGAAACTATGGCATAGAGATATTAAGGAACTGGCTGAAGATGACAGTTACAATAGCATAACAGAGGCAAAATTCAAACAAACAGTCCAATTCCAGAACCCACAATTTTAACCACTATGCTTTAATTGCCTCCAAAAAGTTGTTCTCAGTCGCCCCATCAGTCAAACACAAATAATCCTGTCCATTCAGAGACTAAAAATAGTTTTTAAAAAATCTTCTTCAACAATCTAAATGCTCACTAACAAAATAATGGCTAGATACTGGTATAGTTATATAGTGGAATTCTGGACAAAAGTTTAAAATATAGGACTAAACTACACACCTTAAAAATAAAAGGAATTAAAATCAAATTTTGGACTGCTATCATACAGTTTGATACTATTCTTAAAAGTTTAAAAATTTGCAAAACAATATCCCATTTATATATAGAAACATAAATATAAATATAAAAACTGGCCTGAGATGATTTAAATGCTCAATTCATGACAATGGTTATCACCGGAGTAAAGAAGAGGAATGAGGTCCTGGAGAGGGACCAAGAGACTTCAGTTTATTTAAAGCATAATGATAAAATTTGATAAAATTAGGTTTGTGGGTATAACTTTTATTATCTATATGCTTGAATTACTTCCCAATAAAATAATTTTTAAAGCTCTGCTGATGATCCCAATGTACAGCCAGTTTAACAAAGAGAAAACATTCAATTTTAAATGCTGGTCTAGGCATTTTCACTTTTCTGATCCTTATAAAGTACTTAGGCTCCATGATTGACAGATTCTAGTTTACTTTATTTTTTCCCCCAACATCTGTTACTTCTAGTCTTTTGGAAATTTATTCATGATATAATGAAATCCATAATCTTTGTATATTTGTCAACATCTGCTCTTTAGATTATAAATTCCTAGAAAACAGGAAAATCTTAATTTTTTCTTAATTTCCTATTGCTAGGCGATCATGTGCCCTGGTTTTCCATTTGCTTTCCCAGTGTAATTATTAATAGTGTCTTCCTTTCACCCTCAAGAGTCCCAGGTTGCATGGTAATTTGCACAGTCAGCCCATCCACTGCAGTACTGTATGACAAACACGACTGCTCATTTTCTCAGCATCTCTAGGTTGAAGAGCCTCAAAAAAAAAAAAAAAATCATACTACTCCGCCTTTCACTTTCTAAAACTTATCCCTCTCAAAACACTAGCCTGTACTTTTGAGCTGCTTCAAAGAACTTACATGATTTTTCCATCTGTATCACTTTATGAGGAGATAATTCAGAAAGTTTCTGTTTTACAAATAGTGTTTAGCATTGAAACTTTATATACCTCTGCCCTCAAAAAAAAAAAAAGATTCCAGGATATAGCAAGAATCTTGTACATTACTTCACATAAAACTCAAAGAAGAATATGAATCTAAAAATAGTAAGCATGAGGAGTACAATTTTCTTGATCTACAACATATTTTCTTAATGTAACATAAACTGTGGGTCTTTAAAAGGAATAACTTTATGCTTCCATAGTTTTTCATTTTCAGAGTTCAAAAATCATTTAAACTATTTCAGAGTTCAAATGAAAAATAACAGGCACATTACCTGCACTTAAATTGCTGACTGGTACTTGCAAAGTAGCTGCAACTTTTTTTACAATGTTCTGCATTTCTGGTCCAGTTTTGAAGGCTTCTACATGATAAAGAGCAGTAGCATTCCTTTCCACTTCAGTTAAAAGCTTCTCACAATGATCAAAGAACCTCATTAGTTTATCATTAATTCTTGGAGTCCCACACTCCATGTCTGAAAGGGGAAAAAAATTATATATATGCACACACACATATATAAATCACTGACATAAAAGACAATTTCAAATTATTGAAAATCTTGTTTCAAGTGTGAAAAAGAACACTAAAAACCTATTTACTCGTCAGCATGTCTGAAATAAGCCCACACGGATTAAGAAAGAACAAAACCATTCCCCATTTGTCATGATTGTAATTCATGAGAGCATAAGCTAGAAAAGACTAAAGAAACAGAGAGTATCAAACACAAAACAAAATGTGTTATAGCAATACTACACAATGAATTAAAGGTAAGTGAAATTTTTCTTAAAACAAAAATAATTAGACACGAAACTCATAAAAAGAGCAAAACTGTGTTATATAAGTACTGTTTCTGTCAGGCACAGAAACCTGAGAGAGCAAACTAAAAATCAGCAAAGTTTCTAATTACAAAGTGAGAGATAATTCAACAGAATGAATCTGTTTTTCTACTCTAAGCCAAAGTCTAAATAGAACATTTTATTTTCTCAATGAACTTTCCCAACCCTGTGTTGCTTTACAAAAGACTCTGCTTTGGACAAAAACTACTGACAACAGCACAAATTACATTAACGCTTCTGTATTTCATTGTGCTGGGTGCTTCTGATTTGGTCTATTTTCTAACTGAAGCTCCCAGATAACTTTCCACTTAGAATTCAATGTTGTGTTATTTCCCCAATTTGGCAACAAATATGTATCGGAAAAGCATTCATGAGCATGCTTCAACTACTGGGGTGCCTTTTAAGTTTTTTCAGAGTCATATTCAAAGCACACAGATTTCAATCATCTTTTCTCTCAAAATTTACCATGAAAAGAACACCAAGTATACTATTTCTGTATATGAAATGAGAAAATTAAATCTAGTTACACTGTTTTGCTTTGGATCTGTGTGTGTGAAAATATACATATATACGTTGGATCTGTGTGTGTGAAAACATACATATATATGTATGTGTATGTATCCATTTCAGGAGATCCTGAAACGGATAATTCTGCCCACTTTAGTTGCCAATTGGATTGTAGTTCTTTTTTTTTTAAAGATTTTATTTTTCCTTTTTCTCCCAAAGCCCCCCCGGGGTACATAGTTGTGTATTTTCAGTTGTGGGTCCTTCTAGTTGTGGCATGTGGGATGCTGCCTCAGCATGGCTTGATGAGCAGTGCGATGTCCGTGCCCAGGATTCGAACTGGCCAAACCCTGGGCCGCCCAAACAGAGTGCGTGAACTTGGCCACGGGGCCAGCCCCTGGATTGTAGTTCTTAAGAAAACATCTTGACTGTGAAAATAAGTTATCATTGTCATCTTTTTCTATGGCCTCAAAATGAGACTTCCCAAGTGGATCTAGATATTTCATCCTTGCTACTATCTAATTACTGCTGATCTTTAAACAGAAACAATCATGTTCTGTAAGAATACAAAATGTAATTCAGTGACCTCCCTCAAAAGCCCGGATGTACACAACAGGCAAAACAATTGTTTACAGATAATAATGAAGCAGCTAAGCAAAGAGTTTAATCTATGAGACTGAAAATGGTGAGAGGCGGGCTTATCCTGAACTATTCTGATTCCTGGCTTCATACTTTGAGGCAAATGCCAATCCTCACAATGCCAGCTGAGGGCAAAAGCTCATTCACAGCAGGAGGTCCAGTAGCCTCCCTTTTTGGTATACACTATATATACTGTGCCCTATTGAAGTATGTTCTGCTTTCAACATTCACTTAATTTAACAGATTTGTGGGGAATTTTCACTCATATAAATGGAAAAAGTTTAGCTATAACTAAAAAGCACAGTTCACAAGGGACTAAACACAAGTCAGCCAACTGAGTTACTCACAGAGCAGTAACAAGACACATAATGGAAGAAAGCCTTGGAGATGGCTGAACTACTTCAGAGAGGATACTACTGGAGAAATGACAAACCAGTATACTTCTAATTTATTTTTCACTTGGGCCGAAGCTAAGTGATGTCTCATCTCAACTCTAACTTTAAAAATTGATCAAGAAAGTATTTAACACTTGTTCATCTCTCTGGCACAAAAGTGTTATATGCTTTTACACTTATCCTTAACTTACAGGACAAATGGAAGCTGTATAATGTAACGGTTAAGAGACCAAGCTATAAATCAGATTTCCTGGGTCCATATCTAGCTATACGAAATTAAGCAAATTATTTAATGTTTCTGTGTCTCAATTTCCTCATCTGATAGGGGGAAATAATATGAACCTGAGAGAGCTGTTGTAAAGATTCAGTGACATAAATGTGAGGCATGCCTGGCACACGGGAGGCATTAAGTCTCTGCTACTATTATTACCTGTGACTATGGAAACATTTTCTGAGGGGGAAAAAAAGCACAATTAGGGTGAAAACAAAAGACCTGGATTCTGAGCCTGACTCTAGTCCTCAAACTAACAAGGGACAATCATCAAGGCATATTCTTGGGCTCAGCTTCTTCACCTGTGAAATTCAAAGGCCCCACTACATGATCTCCCAAATTTTGCAAAAGTTTAAGTAATGGAATAAATTAGTAAAGTATTGTGTGTGACCAATGTCCACAACAAAGAGTGTAACTCTATAGTTAGAGTTACATACAAGAACATACCAGAACAAAACAGAGAGAAAAGAAAAGTAGTAAAGAAAGTTTGAGAGTAGCTTCCGACAATAGGATGTTGGTCTGGAAGCAACAAGCGAAAAAGTCGATAAGCAAAAAAAACCCAAATAGTATCCGAAGCCAAAGCCTGAGGAAGAAAGTTCTAGACTGTATTTAAAAAGTGCACCCAACAGTAAAACCAGCTGCCAGGGAGGGAGGAAGGGAACGGCTGGTGCTCAAAGGGCCAATTTGGGATGGGAGATTAAGAACTGCCCTCGTCTGTCTCCTCTCCTGTTGGATCCCCCCAATGTCTCCTGCAGCGTCCGGCACGTAGAACGTGCCAAATTCATACCTGATGAACGAATAAACGAACGTACGTATGAGGAGAAGGGAGACGACCAAGTCCTGAACATTCTATGGGATGGGGGCCAGAAGGAGGGAAATGAGAAGAGGCTGGGGAAGTCCGGGATCTGGGGAGGACTTAGGACAAGGGGGAGAACGGAGGCAGGGCACTGGCCCGGCGGCCCGGGCGGTTACCTGCGATGTCCGGCGGCGGCAACCCAGGGTGGTAGTGCTGCCACAGCCCCTGCAGGAAGGCGGCGCCGCTGTCCACGCAGCGATGCTTGGAGCTGGTGATGAGCTGCAGGCGGCAGTAGTTCTCGAAACTGAAGAGGGCCGGGAAAAGGGAAGCGAGGCGCAGCGCCAGCTGTCGCATGTCCTGCCACCCCTTCTCCACCAGCTGCCCGTCCATCCATTCCGCGTACCCCAGCGGCCAGGCGGCCAGCGCGGCCCTCAGGTCGTGACTGCCGGCAGCGCAGGTCTTGTCATCCCCGGGCCCGCGGGCCTGCAGCAAGCCGTGCAGCTGTCGCAGCTTGCGGATCTGTTTGGCCGTAGGGTAGCGGGTGCCATGGCGGATGAGGGCGACCAGCTGCACCGGCGTGCAGGTCTCCTCCAACAGCTCCGGGTCCCGCCGCGGCGCCTCGGGGTCCAGCAGCAGCCCGGGGTTGACATCCTCGTAGCGAGTCTTGGTGCCGAAGTAGGGGCTGAGCGCCGAGATCACGCAGTCCTCCGGCTCCAGGAGGGAGCAGCGCGAGAGCGACGACAGCACGGCCACAGCTAGGGCCGCCGCGGGGGCCACAGACACCCTGAGAAGGCGGCGGGGGTCGCGGAGCATCATGCGCTGCGGCCCGCGGAGGGCGACGTACCGACGAAGCTAGAACTTCCGGCCCCGGAGGGCAGGAGGCGGGGCCGAGGCGCTTCCGGCCTGTGCTCCGGGATTTACCGCGGCTGGGCGGCGCTTCTGCTGAGAGAAGGCGGGAGCGGCTGGAGAGGGTTGCGGGTGCCAGAGGGAAGCTCCGAAGAGCCCTGTAGCTCCGTGGCTTAGGTGAAGCCGGCAGAAAACCCCGAGGAGCTTCGGAGGCCTGCGACTTAGGGGGAGCCGGCGTCGCCTGGTCCCGAGCGTGGGCGAGTTTCGGCGCAGCAGGCGTCTCAGTCAATGACTCAAAGACACCCCGACTTCCCTAATTCTCTAGGGTGTAAATAAGCGCAGACTAAGCCTTGGCCTGCAAAGCTGCCGAGACAGGACACCTCTAACAGCAGACTCTTGTATCACCATCCTTACCTCGTTCTACTCTGTTGTTCAAAATGTAGTCTCTCAACCATCCCCATCAAGTTCACCTGAGGCGGTTGTTGAAGCTGAGATCCCTGGGCCCTACCCCAGTAGGCCTCCTAAAGCCCAAGGTTTTTAGCCTCTAACGGTATACAACAAGGCAGAGAAGAACCTGGAGAAAGGCTCAGTTCTCCAGGAAATTTAATTCCTGAGACTTTAGTAGTATCTTGACTTGGACTAGTAAAGCTGACAGCAGCCAGACAGCATCCGACAATTACTATGCTTCTTGATACCGAAGGCCGAGAGATTAGAGACACAGCAATCGTGATCGCTTGGGCGCACTGAGTCACGGCCCAACAGATTTACTCCATTATTAAGTATGAGCAAATCAGCAGCTAGGTTTTTCATAGGCTGTTGCTCAGAATCTTTGACCCCAAAAAATCGTGAATCTGAGCAATATCTCCGTTTCTCCACCTGAACCTGTTTATAGGCCAGCTGGGAAAGGAGTAAGTATTAAAGTCATATGATGATCGACATTCAAGGAAGTTTGGACCACGTTTTTGTAAGCGTAGCTTTTCCTTTAAAGACGCTATTAAATTGCTCCTGGTAAAGCCCTTCTCCGTTTTTACTCTTTATCTTCTTGAGTGCCTCTCCTCCAGAGAAGTGTACCTCTAAGTGTTAACCAATAAAGAAAGTGATGTAAAATCAAGACTAGACTTCAACTTGAATGCTGCAGACTTTAAGACGTTCATCTCATCTTTGAGAGGATAGGTATTCTTTTTTGATACACCATTCTGTGGAATGTCACTTCATGAATGTTCATGGTCAGTGATATTTTCACAAAACTGCTCAAATTAATATATAGTGAACATTCACCCTTTCTTTATGGACTTCCTAACCTTACATTTTGTAATCTGAGGTGCCTGATAGTATTTCTAAGTTTACAGAGCAAGCATTTGTACCAGGTGCATCTCACTATATTTCACTTAATATATGCGCTTAATAATGATCACCTGTCATGCCCAGTCTTTTGAGTCCTCAGGAGCTAGCAAGTCTTCCTAAAGGTGTCACTGCTTCCTAATGAAGCAATCTTTAGAGACCCTGACTACTTAAAAAACTTATGACACAGATTCTTATACACTAAATCTGTCCCTAGCTTGATTTTCTTTTCCTTCCTGTAATTACTCATTTGTTAATTTTATGCTGTTTATGCACTTACATAAACTAACTCCCATCATTTTGATGTCAAGCCAAGATGACAAACAATAAAATAAAACTAACCAAAGCCTTCATGTGTTTGGCTAGGGGAAAGCAAGATACAGTATAAAGAGGACAAATAGTACATAACCTTTGGATCCAGACTTCAAGCTCAGCCACACATTAACTCTGTGACCTTGGAAAGTGACCCAAGTTCTCCGAGCCTTAGTTTCCTTATCCGAAAATTAGGAATATTAGAACCTACACCTCAGGATTATTGTGAGAATCAGAGATGATGTGTTTAAAACCCATATAATAGGCTCCTATGAGTGGTATTTTTATCATTAATGATGTCCAATTTATTGTTATTCCTATACTAAGATGCTTAGTTCTCTAGCAACTATACAGTAGAAACTTACTTCCATGTTAAAGTGAATGATTTTCACAGGCAGGACATGCGTCAAAGATTATTTCATAACTTTTCTAATAAAAATCTATTCATCTCACTTAAAATGAGTCTCTCATTTAAAGCAGTGAGCACCTTTGGAAAGTGTTAAGAAGGTGACAGGCCCTGCTCATTTTTTCATACCAGGCCATGTCTTAATTCTCTCGCCAGCCTGTAAATTGATTGCCTTTTGAAATAGGTGCCCACCTTGTTCAATCAGTACACAGAAATTTGCTTGGTACAAAACATGGCTGCCTCTTTGCAAAGACCATGGATGAATTGCCTTCCCTCGTAAGAGGTTGTGGGCCTGGCAGCAATGTATCTGACAAATCTACCACAACACAATAGATAGAATGGGAAATTAATGGTTCAAAATCCTCGAAGAAATGGGAAAGAATAGACCCAAGAGCACAAAGAAATGGATTTGGACCAGAAAGACAGGAGACCTTATCCTCTGAGGGAAGATTAGAAGCATGGATTCACTTGTGGATAAATTTGTTGGTCTAACAGGAAAAAATTTATGAATTCCAAGCGCGTTGGCCTCAGTTTCCTCACTGATGTAGGAGGCAAGATTGTCTGAAGAGACTGGGAATTAAGTCTTATGGAATGTGGAAATGGCTTAGATTTGCAACGAAGAAAAATGGGACAGTAATGGAAAAGGATTTGCAACTGAGAGAAATAGGAAACAAGCTCTGAGGATTCAGCAGAGAATGGAAGACTTGAATTGCTAAGGGTTGTGCAATTTTATCCAGAAGTGAATATTATCCATTGTGTCTTTCAGAATGGAAAAGAAAAAGGTTGAACTCTAGTGTTCTACAGTATTCTAATTTGTCTTAAGTAGAACTTCTTTTCTAATCAAACCACTACATTAAAGAATAGGATGGATTATTTTTGGCAGATTATTCATAGGACTTCTAAAACAGTCATTCCACTCTTAGAATTTCATGATGGCATACATCGAATTTTGTTACAGCCATCTACTACACTATTAAGGATGGCTTCCTGGTGAGGAAATAATAAAGGAAAAAGCTAAATTCTATAAAGGAAAGGGTAGCCTCTCTATGTAAGTATAGTAAAATACTGATTAAGAACATGGTTTCTGAAATAAGACTTTCTGAATTCCAACTTCATCACTTAGTATCTGTAAAATCTTGAGCAAATTAAACTCTTTTGCCTCAATTTGTTTTCTTCTGTAAAGTGAGGATAATACCTGCATCATGGGATTGTTGAGAAAATTGCATGAGACAGTTTATATAAAGACCTTATATAGTTCTGGCCCTGAATAAATGTTACTTTTATTAAGAAGAATTAAAATGTTTTTTACTATTACTTCTCCTTTAATCAAGTAAACTGACAAATTGCCAGTTTTTCATGGATATCTATTATCCCACAACTAGAGTAAGCAACTAACTTTGTGCCTATGCCAAGAAACTTTTAACTATAGTACCTTACTACCCTGCTGTTTCATCTTTCCTTTGCCTGGTTGTTGATTTAGTGCTTATTTGTTTTTTATTGCAGTAGAAGAAGCCAGCAGAAGTCCATGTGTATGAACAGGGCTGGAGTGATCCATGCTTCAACAGCAGTCCCTTCAACTTTGCTTGAATGTGGAGGCTGCGTACATCACAAGCTCTGCAGACTACAAGGTATCTTTGCTCAAGAGGAACCACACCATCACTGATGCTAACCACTACATTGTTCCGCAGCATATCAAAACTAAGCTGAATTATTTAACTTGTGTTTCAGTTGATGAATAGAACTTCACTCAACCACACAACAATGGAGGTGACCTACTGTTTTACATCCTCTCTTATAAACTGCTAAGGGAGTTATTTTGCAGTGACAAAGCTTCTCTTCTAGTATCCTGACACATCCTAGGACTTTGATGTTGGAAATCCTTCCTTCCAATCAAATTCTGGTTCTAAAACCACAGAACTATTTGAGAAACCAGACACAAACTTATGGTAAGTTTAAATTACCAATATTCTTTCTGTGCTTTGCTACTTCCATTTAATAGGGAGAAACTGCAGCTATTTACTCCCTAGTCCTGTTTTACACTGATTTTTCTGCACAAGCCAGCATTGTTGCTCAGAAACATCATTTTCTCCAGACGTCCCCTCCGTCCAAAATATATTGTTATCCCATCACAAAGACGAATAATGGATTCAAGATCCTAATAAAACCCTTTCTTCTCCCCTGTGTTTTTCAAAAACAAACATAGACAATAGCAATTGTGTTTTAACTTCTTTTTTTTTTCTGAAATGTTAGTTTTCCAAAATTTAAAAATCTCTTTGAACTATTGGAGAACTTTCAGAATAAAAGTTCTTTCTTTATTAGTTCTTCATCAGGAAGGCTACTTTTTACTCAGTCCATTAATGTTAATTTCATGTTGTCTCACTAGCCCACACAGGAACCAATATTCTTTCAGTTTTTGTTTATAGTTTTGTTGCAGCATAAACCCATCTTATTGCTTTACCTGTATCAGTAAATATTAAAACCCAACAATATCTAGGCTAAAAAAGCAATGTAGGCACCTGTGAACTCACACACTTGGTTGCAGCCACTTTAGTAAACAGGACAGTTCACAGTCCAATTGAAGCAACAATTATGGTTCCACAAACAACATCCTTCACTACCCCACTTTACCTTTCTTGTCTTACATCCTACACTGCCTTGTCTGGTTCTGCTCCAAGAGACAAAAGAGTTGCTGCTAAGTCATTCATTGGTTAATATCTTAGATGCAGGGGCTATGGGGAAAACTTTTTTGACTCCAAAATGTTTATCCCATATCTTATATTAAGTAGACTATTAGCAGTTATTTGTTGAAAGGGTGTATGAATGAATGAATAAATGAAAATAGAACAAACAGACAGTGTAGGAAGCTAAAATGTGGAAATAATATTGCTTTGCATTTATGCAGTATAGTTATCTTCTGAGCTATCCCATGATATCTGAAGAACAATATTTATATTATACTGTGGATGTAGAAATCGAGACAAAGAGGGGTTAGATGCCTTAACCTAAAGTCATCCAACAACTATTTAGTAGAGCCAGTTCTAGAATGTGATCAATGGAAACAGGGCTAGCTTTGTGTTTCTTTTCCTGATACCTACCCTGTTCCTGACAAATGAACAGTGACGTCAAAAAGTGTCACTTTTAACTTGGGCTAAAAGGGTAGACTTTATACATAATACTATAGAAGTTACTATTAGTTAACCGTCCAACATTTATTCTCCCTTCTTCCTTGGAATTGATGTATAGGTATTCACCTCTCAGGAAGATCACTCTATCCCCACCTCAGGAAAAAATCTTGATTGGTTTAAACCAGTTCTGGTAACTCTTATTTTTCTTACCAGTTTGTTTTAGGAAAAAGCATGTAACTCAATTCTAGCCACTGAGATGTGAGGGGGAGTGTACTGAGAAGTTCCTGGGAAAGTTTTATTTGATTCTAGGAAAGAGATAAATGATGGGGTGATGAACAGTCAACACATAGAGTTAATGGATTAGAGATGCTATTGATTGCAATATTGCAGTGGGCACAGTAAAAATATTCTGGAAAGAAAGGAGATGGTATTCAGTGACTGACATGCTTAAAATGAATATTTTCAGTGTAGTGCAATACCTATTATTGATTAAATGAGACAGTTTGGAATTTGATATTAAGGAAGTTCAGCCAAGGCAAATGATAGAATACAAATCTTTTAGAAGTAAGGAGGTAAAAAAAGCTGAGAGGCCAAGAAGTCCTGGGTCAAAATTTTTGCTCTTGGCTCCAGACTTCCATTCCCATGGGACTTAAGCCCTATTAGCTTTTGGCCTTCCACTAGTCTATACACCCCTCCCCCAGCTCAGTCTTAAAAATCCCCAGCTCACTCAGCAACTATTCCATGAATTTTATTAAAATAAATTATTTTACAGAGACGTTTTGTTTTTAATATATGCTATTGATAACTTGGAAAGATGAAAGAGATTGAGAGCACAGAGATGCCAATAATTTAAAATACAATCTTAAAAAACTTTGTTCTTAAAATGAGGAAGAGTCACACACGAGGAAGAGGTAACTGCCCTGGACATTAGTATGTCCAAATGTGATGACTAAATCTCCTTCAGCCATGTTGCAACCAGAGAGGAAGAAGCTTGAAAACAAAGCCAACGCAATGAGACAACACAGCAGAAAGCGGAAAGAACCTGAGTCTTTGGTGATGCTATTGAGCTGATGAATTAGACCTGGAGGACACCTGCTATGGGCTTCCTGTCATCTAAGGTAATAAATGTCTTTACTGTTTAAACCAGTGTTTCATTATTTTCTGTAGAAAGCCTCCTAATTAGGGTAAGTACCTATTAACCTCACTTAACTCCTTACAATGTCCTTTTTCTTGATCTTGCTGAAGTCATCTATTGAGAATAACAGAAAATCGCAGATGGTGATTCTGATCCCATCTCCTTAGATGTGACCTTAGGTCTCTCACTCAGAATGACTATGGTTTATGAAACATCGGAAATACTGGGAAGAGTAGGAAGGAGGTGGGTAGGATGAGGTATCTGGTGATGGAGGTGATCTGTGTCTGGTAAGGTGAAGTGTGAAAACTAAGCAAAAGATGCAAATGGAAATCAGAGAGAAAGCAGCTCTTCTGAGCAGACCCTTAGAAATACAGTCTTAGGGACACGTGAGCCACATCTTTGGGGAGAGTTGTGGAATCTACATTATAGGAGTGGCATCACTTAGATCTATGTTCTTCTCTCAGGGGGAGAAATCAGTGTTCATAGGATATCAGAGGGTTCTTGTCATGCCTGTCTTCTTCAGAAACAGACCAAATTCTGACATGTCTCATGATGACATGATGATCTAAAAGTGAGAGGCTTGATTTCAATTTTTCCTATAAGCTCCCAAAAGACCTATGGTATTGCTGCTCTCTTTCAGCCTGGCATAAGTCTCACAAACTAGAAGGCAGACTTAACATTCAATCTAGGGTAGTTCTCCCCAGTGACCTCTTGCTTTTTCTAAACATCTTCATAAAGACATAGTAATATTCTACTGTGAATTATATGAGAGCTGTTCATGTGGATTTAAACAGTAAATCTAACAAATAGGCTGCTCTTTGCCTGATGACTCAGAGATATTTATGTATTCTTACATTTCAGGCATTTGAGGAAAAAAATAATTCCTGAATATATTGTATTCAATTGAGTTTGAAAGAGGAAAAGAATAGAAAAACAATAGAGAGAATCAATGAAGTCAAAAATTGGTCCTTTGAAAAGATCAACAAATTGACAAATCTTTAGCTGGCTTAACCAGAAAAAAAAAAGAGAATACTCAAATTACTAAAAGAAGAAATTAAAGAGGGGACATTACTACTGACTTTACAGGAATAAAAAGCATTATAAGAGAATACTATGAACAGCTGTATATTAACAATTTGGATAACCTGGATGAAATGGACAAATTCCTAGAAACATACAACTACCAAAACTGACTCAAGAAGAAATAGCAAATCTGAATAAAACTATAACACCTAGGGAGTTTGGATCAGCAATCAAAAACCTCCCAACAGGGGGCCACCCAGTGGCATAGTGGTTAAATTTGTGTGCTCCACTTTGGCAGCCCGGGGTTCACAGGTTCAGATCCCGGGTGCAGACTTAGCACCGCTTGTCAAGCCACAGTGTGGAGGCATCCTGCATAAAATGGAGGAAGATTGGCACAGATGTTAGCTCAGGGACAATCTTCCTCAAGCACAAAGAGGAAGATTGGCAACAAATGTTACCTCAGGGCTAATCTTCCTCACACACACAAAAAACTCCCAACAAACAAAAGTCCAGGATCAGATGACTTCACTGGTGAATTCTACACACAATTAAAGAAGAATTAACATGAATACTTCACAAACTCTTCCAATAAATATAAGAGAGAATATTTCTTAACTCATTTTATGTGGCCAGCATTACCCTGATACAAAAGCCAGACAAAGACACTGCAGACCAATATCCCTTATGAATGTAGATATGAAACTCCTCAACAAAATGCTAGCAAATAGAATTCAGCAGCAGATTAAGAGGATTATACACCATGAACAAGGGGGATTATCCCAGAAATGCAACAGTGGGTCAGCATACAAAATCAACCAATGTAATACACAACATTAATAGAATGAAGGGGAGAAACCACATGACCACCTCAAGTGATGCTGAAAAAACATTTGACAAAATCCAATATCCCTTCATCATAAAAACACTCAATAAACTAGGAATATCAAGGAACTTTCTCAACATGATAAAGGCTATATGTAAAAAAAAAAAAAAACAAACAAAAAACAACTTAGGGAATGACTGAAAGCTTTTCCACCAAAATCAGGAACGAGACAAGGATGCCTGCTTTTGCCACTTCTATTCAACATAGTGTTGACAGTTCTAGCTGGAGTAATTTGGCAAGAAAAAGAAAGAAAATGCATCCAAATTGGGAAGGAAGAAGTAAAACTGTCTCTATTCACAGATTACATGAATGTAGAAAAACCCTAAAGAATACACACATACAAACACACACACTCGCATCCTCTTAAAGGTAATTAATGAATTGAGCAAAATTGCAGGATACAAAATCAACACACAAAAATCAGTTGAATTTCTATACACTAGCAGTAAACATCTGAAAAGGAAATTAAGAAAATGATTTCATTTATAATGACATCTAAGAGAATAAAATACTTAGGAATAAGTTTAACCAATGGGGCATAAGACTTGTACACCGAAAACTATAAAACATTGCTGAAAGAAATTAAAGAAGACCTAAATAAATGGAAAGACATCCCATGTTCATGGATTGGAAGACTTAATATTGTTAAGATGACAATATTACCCAAAGTGATAAGCAGATTCAATGCTATCACTATCAGAATCCCAACAGTGCTTTTTGAAGAAATGGAAAAACCCATCCTAAACTTGAGACGGAATTTCAAGAGATCCAGGGTAGCCAAAACAATCTGAAAAGAAGAACTAAGTTGTAGAACTCACACTTCCTGATATCAAAACTTACTACAGGGGCCAGCTTGGTGGCATAGTGGTTTAGTTCACACACTCCACTTTGGCAGCCAGGGTTCATGGGTTCAGCTTCCTGGAACAGATCCACACACTACTCATCAAGCCAAGCTGTGGCAGCATATCACATACAAAATAGGGGAATATTGGCACAGGCGTTAGCTTAGCAACAATCTTCCTCAAGCACAAAGAGGAAGATTGGCAACAGATGTTAGCTCAGGGCCAATCTTCCTCACCAAAAAAAATTTTTTTAAATAAAACTGACTATAAAGCTACAGTAATCAAAAGAGTGTGGTACTGACATAAGGATAGGCATATAGACCAATGGAATACAATTGAAAGCCCCAAATAACTCTCACATCTATGGTCAATTGATTTTTGGCAAGGTTGCCAAGACCTTTCAGTGAGGAAAGGACAGTCTTCAACAAATAGTGCTGGGATATCCACAATCAAAAGCATGAAGTTAGATCCTTACCTTACACCATATACAAATTTAACTAAAATGAATCAAAGGCCTAAATTTAAAAGCTATAAAACTCAAAAACTAAATGCTAAAAAAAAATTAGAAGACGACGTAAGGAAAAATCTTCATGAACTTGGGTTTGGCAATGGTTTCTTAAATGTGACATCAAAAGCACAAGTGGGAAAAGAAATAGTAGATAAGTTAAACTTCATCAACATTAAAAATTTGTGCATCAAAGGACACTATCAAGAGAGTGAAAAGACAACCCATGGAATGGGAGGAAATATTTGCAAATCATATATTTGATCAGGGACAGATATCCAAAATATATAAAACTCCTACAACTCAACAACAAAAAGACAACCTAATTTTAAAAATGGGCAAGGACTTGAATAAATACTTCTTCAAAAAAGATATACAAATGATCAATAAGCACATGGAAAGATGCATATCAAAACCACAATGAAATATCACTTCACACCTACTAGGATGGCTAAAAAATCTTTTAAAAAATAAAAATAACCAGTATTGGTGAAAACGTGGAGAAAGTGGAACACTAGTACCTTGCTGATGGGAATGTAAAATGGCAGAGCTGCTGTGGAAACAAGTTTGGCAATTCCTCAAAAAGTTAAACATAGAATTACCTTATCATCCAGCAATTCCACTCCTAGGTGTATACCCAAAAGAATTGAAAACAAGGGCTCAAACTGATATTTGTACACCAATGTTTATAGAAGCATTATTCACAATAGCCAAAAGGTGGAAACAACCCAAGAGTCCATCAACAGATAGATAGATAAAATGTTGTATTATATGTACGATGGAATATTATTCACCCGTAAAGAAGAACAAACTTATACATGATGCAACATGGTCGAACTTTCAAAACGTTATGGTAAGTGAAATAAGCCAGAAACAAAAAGATGAATATCATAATGTACCACTTAAATGAACTATATAAAACAGACAAATTCATAGAAATGGAAATTAGGTTAGAGGTTACCAAGGGCTAGGAGGAGGGGGGCAATAGGAGTTATTGCTTAATGGATGCAGAGTTTCTGTTTTGGGGGGTGAGAGGGTTTTGTAAATAGATAGTAGTGATGGTTGCACAGCATTGTGAATATGGTTAATGCCACTAAATCATACACTTAAAAATGAATAAAATAGCAAATTTTACATTATACATATTCTATAATAATAAAAAAATTAAAAGCTTGTGTTGCAAATAGGTGAGAATGTTGTTTGGTACTGTGAAATAATTTACCCAGAGGATCAATGTTATAGTCATCTCTTCTCAATTTAGCCTGGTTAACCCAGAATACACATTTGCCATGAAACTGTAGTAAATAACTCTATCAAAACATTCATAATTAACCAAAACAGAGAAGGAATATACTGAATCAAAAATGGTGTTATTTTTATCAACTAATGATGCCTGAAGAAAAGCGGATTTCATTATTGGGAAATGAGAAAATAGAAAGTTTTCTATAGATTCTGGGGAAATTTCAGGACAGTTTCTAGAAGGTTAAATAACCTGATTCTTTTTAATGACTGTGGTAGGCTAAATAATGGCCCCAATTATGTTTATATGCAAATTCCTGGAACTTGTGAATATAACCTTATGTAGTAAAAAGGACTTTGCACATGTGATTAAAGATCTTGAGATGGGAATATTATCCTGGATTATCTGATGGACCCAAGGTAATCATAAGGGTCCTAATAAGGGGAGGCGAGAGGGTCAGAGTGAAAAAAGGCAATGACTAAAGAGAGGGAGAGATGACAATATGATGACAGAAGCAAAGATCAGAGTGATGCAGAGGCCACCAGCCAAGGAATATGGGCAGCCTCCAGAAGCTGGAACAGGCAAGGAAATGGATTCTCCCTGTAGAGCCTCCAGAAGGAAAGTAACCCTGCCAACCTATTTCAAACTTCTGTTCTCTAGACCTGTAAGATAATAAATTTCTGTAATTTTAAGCCACTGAGTTTGTCATAATTTGTTACAGCAGCAAAACAAAACTAATGCAATGACTAATTTTACTTCCAAATTCTTTGTTTCTTTTCCTTAAAACAGTTTTATCACAAGCACTATTTTTATATTACTCAGTTAAGACTATGGGTTTGGGAAAGGTTGTTTACCTTGATGAAGATAATAATGTAGATAATATTACCATTACAATGCATTTCCCAAATACAAAGCATTGTGCTAAAAGCTTTACATACTTTAGTTCAAAAATCCTTACAACCTTTGCAGGTAGGTGTCATTATCCACTTTTACAGATGAGAAAACAAACTCTATGAGGATAAATAATTTTTTAATGCCATACAGTGGTGGTATAAATATGAACGTGCTCAAGAGGATAGGCAAGTCAAGAGTTAAGTTATTTTTATATTTCTTGTGATAGATTAAGAGTAGTTGTTATCAGTAAGAGAATGAAAGTCAGAGAGAAAAAAAGAAAGAAGGTAGAAAGAAATGTTGGGTTGGGCAATTCTGTATATTCAGGATAGCTTATTCAGGATAGCTTGGCTGTAGTTCAGATGGGGAATTTGGGAAAGCAATAGGCAACCAGCCATTTCTCTGTTGGGTATTTGAAAGTCAAATGTTGATAAACTTTAGATGTTCTTAAAAGAAGAATCCATTTTCTTAAAATTTCTGGAAAAAAGAATATTCTTCTCTGTATTAAAACTTCTTGGGGCCAGCCCCATGGCCCAGTGGTTAAGTTCTCGTGCTCCACTTTGGCAGCCCAAAGTTCCAATCCTG